CATACACCTTTTAAAAGTATGACCCTTTTCATTACATTTCCTTTCCTGCAAATAATTTCTTTTTTAGGCTGAGGACAATCCGTCGCTATATGTCCATAATCATTACAATTGAAGCATTTCGGCTCACCCTTTTCATTGCGGATGCCAGAATTATATTCCCTTTTCCTTTCGTCTGTTTTATAAAATTTATCTCTCAGATTGTATTTATTATCAAAACTGTTTTTAAAACCCACTTTGAAATTACCATCTGTCTGCATGGAATCTTTAACATTTCTTTGTCTTGAATACTGATTATAGCATCCTTCATAAAATTTAGAACCAGATTTGGGCTTAAAATTATGCCTAAAAGTTTTATTTTCTACTCGAAGTACTTTTATCCCTGCCCGAATATTTTCATATTCATCTAGTTTTTCAGCCAACTCTTCAGGATTAATGAATTTAGACCAATCATCAATGAAATGGTCTAGGATAGCAGCGGGGACCCTCTTCTTTAATTGATCAGTAATAATAAGTTGTTTTAAAGAGTCAAAATCTGTTACATTTAATCCAGCACGCCACTCTTCAAAATAATTTTTTAATTCAAACGTGAAGTCCTTCCACGTATTACGCAACGTTTTAATATGATCAACGAACTTTTGCCGAAACTGTTCAGGGCTTAACTTAAATTTTCTCAGTAGCAGTTGTTTAACGTGCTTATAGTCGTTAGCTTTCTCTTCTGATTCACGGGCAATTAATTGAGTTATTTCATAAGGCAATAGACCCAACAGCTGAGAAACCCAGTTTTGTTCTTCTAACCCAATACGTCGTGCCTGTCTCTCAAATAAAACTAAATAATAAATATAACTAATAAATAAATATAAATCTCAAATAAAACTAAATAAATAAAAACTTATATCACCTTCATTCAAATCATACTTATGCATTAATTTACTCATATCACAAATATTACTTCTACTAACATTAGAAGGAACAGAATCATTTACATTACTACTTCTGATTTCCGCTTCTATTTTCAATTTTTCAAGTTCAAAAGTTCTTTGCTTATTCTTTTCTATAATTTCCATTTCAAATGCTCTTTGCTTATCTTTTTCTATAATTTCCATTTCAAATGCTCTTTGCTTATCTTTTTCTATAATTTCCATTTCAAATGCTCTTTGCTTATCTTTTTCATTTTCTAAAATTTCTAACTTTTCCCTGTCTAAACGATCATTTATAATTCTATCTAGCATTTGTTTAGTAAAGTCTTCGTTATAATTCTTACTATTCAAAATCATATCTCTTAAGCCTACAATTTTAATATCAGAAGGGACATCTACATCAAGTTCCAAAGCAAGTTCTTTTAAATCACATTTTTTGCCTCTTGCCAAATAAGCCATCTTAGACTTCAATTTTCAAATACTAAAACAATAATTATACTTAAGTTCTTTCCGTTTAATACTTAGACATAACATAAACAGTTTATAAATTCACGTACCTTTCTACTTTCAGTTTTGGCGAGCTTCCGCATTCAGTTTAGGCTTAGCGTACGTTAAGGCAATACGTTGTTAAATCTAGATAATAATTCTAGTTTATCCCACTTCTGAAATGTTAGCATTTAATTAGTTCTTTTATTAAAAACACATTCCGTCAACATTAATTGTTAAATACTTGCTTTATTCAGAAACATTACCGTCAACATTACTGCTCAAAAAACATTACAGTTCAAAATATTATCGTTCTGAAAAAAAAAAAAAAAAAAAAAACTGTTGTTGCCAATCGGGAAAATACATTTTAAATAAAATTAATACGTTGCGTTTACAATTGCTAATTGCCTTTTTATTTCTTTAACGTTTAGTATTGTTAGTACATTGACATCTCTATCCATCATGTTCTTTGTATGATTGTCTCTGAAACGTAATGCAACTATAGTTTCTGCAGTGAATAAGGTGCAGGGGCCATTTAAGAAAGTTAACCATTGTGGGAGATTGAATTTCTGATCTGCTTATACCAGGGATGGGCGAACTGTTTTGATCGCGGGCCAAAAATTGGAAGAAAAAAAAATTTTCGCGAACCAAGGTAAATTTTTACAAAATTTTAAAAACACTAGACAAGAATTACAATTTTAATATGTTAATGAGATGAATGAAATTGTGATTTCATTTTTAAAAGTTACTTATATTGAGTTTCGAAGTGAGATGTACTGATTTTAAGGAACAAGGCTAAATGTTCATCTGTCAGTCTACTTTTGAAATAATTCTTTTTAAGGTTCATAGTTGAAAACACTTGTTCAGGTATATAAGATGAAGCAAACATAGCACTGATTTCCTCATCATGAGATATTAAATGTGGGAAACTTGCTTTCGATAATGATTTGTAAAACTCTAACTTTAGCATATTTAGAAACAACTACTTGAGATGATTATTAGATTGCAACTCAATTAATTCAAGCTGCAAATCTGAACCTCACTGCTTCACAATTTACGTTGAAAGGCATGGTAAAAATATCAAATTCTGTTTGAATGGACTGAAACATTGAAATCTGCATTCGAACTCAAAATGCAGTTTTTTCAAGCAGTCTTCATAATTCTTAAGCTTCTCATTACTGAAGGTATTGAATTAAACCTCGGGAAATGAGATAAGTCTTTCTTAGCTAGCTGCCCAGGAATCAGATTAAGTAAGTTTTTCTTAGCTAGCTGCCCAGGAATCAGATTAAGTTTTTGTTTAAAAGCTTTGAGATAGGCCCAGATATCGTCGATAAATTTATTTTTCCCTTGCATCTTGCCATTCAAGTTGCTCATATGGCAAAGATCTGTGAAAAATGCAAAGTCCGAAAGCTATTTTGTATCTTCTAATATTTCGCACTCCGCAGAACACTGTTTCTCATGGAAGAACGACACATAGTCGTGTTTCTGCTGCCAGACTTACTCTAAATCAAATCTTGCACTAAGCCACCTTAAGTTTGTGTAGTACAGTACATCAAAGTATTCAGATTGCAGGGACCGAAGAAAATCTCAAAACTGCCTGTGAGTAAGCCACGAGATCGAACAGTATTTACAAGCTTCACGACTGCATCAAGCATGGTTTCATATTAAATGCAGATTTACAAAGAGCATCTTGATGTATAACACAGTGTAGAAAAACAACATTGTTCCCCGGATAGTTTTGATTAAAGAGTCCAAGAAATTCAGATTTTTTTCCCTGTCATATTTGGTGCTCCATCGGTCGTAATATTATATATATTTGTTATAGCACTTTCAAAATTAAAAGCCCTTCCTTAAATTCACGAAAAATATCCCATTCCGTTGTAGTTCCCTTTAAAGAACGCATGCACGCCAGTTCCTCGGTAATTTCAAAGTTCTCATCAACATCTCTTATAAATAATACTAATTGAACAGTATCATTTACATCAGTGCTTTCATCTATAGCTGTGGAACAAAATTTAAACTGGTCAATCTTTGACTCTAATTGTGATGTCAAATTTTTATCAATGTCTTCAATTCTATAGAAGTCAACGTTTTTCGAGATAAGCTTACAGTCTAAAAATTATTTTTCTTCTCTGCCCATAAAACATCACAAACTTGGAGCATGCATTGTTTAATGAACTCCCCATCACTGACAGCTTTGTTATTTTTAATAATATTGTATGCCATATTGTAACTTGCATGTGTAGCTGTTTCTTGGATACTGTTTACTTTCTTGAAAACATTTTGTCGTCCTGATAATTTTTTACAAAGACTTTCTGCATTTTCTTTTCTTTCATATTCGGACATTGCTTCGTAATTGGAATTCTTATGCTTAGATGTGAAATGACGAAAAATGTTATATTCTTTGAAGACTTGCTACAGTTTCATTGCAGATGAGACACATTGGTTTATCTTTTACAACTGTAAAAAAGATATTTCCAGGTCCTTTCGTCATTAAAAACACGGCAGTCTGAATCAATTTTACGTTTCTTAGTAGCCATTTTGGGGTTGAAATATTTTACGAATAACTCAAACAAGCATTAGCTACGCTATACTTTTAATAATAATTTCACCACTGTTCACAATGATGCTATATGTGTGCAATTTTTCCATACGCAATCAATAATATTAGAACTTTCTCCAAAAGAAATAGCTGCTGGCTGGAGCTTTTTTAAATGCTCAGTCTGCCACCTATGAGGTCTAATTTACCTATATTGGATTCCCATAGTCTGCTTCTCGAGAAAAAGATAACGCTCGCTGGCGCCAATCTACAGCTATAATTAAAAAAGAACTTCCGCTTTTAACACTTTACCGATTGAAAGCTGCCTATGCTTGCTATTTCCGAAAATAGAGAAAGTAAAAAGATTGTGATGTATGGGTGACACCAACCAACAAATGTATAGAGGGCGCTGGCTCTTAATCTGAAGGCGCCAAAAAGTTTTAGTTTCCAAGAGGGTTCCCGACAGAGGTCATAGGAAAGGCTCGTGGGAGCCATTAATGAAACCGAAATTAACTTTTATTACTTTATATATTTCAGCTATTAGTATTGTAGTTTAGTATTAGTTTTGTGTTTGTGAAATAAATGTTTAAAAATACAAAAGGGTGGAGTTATTTCTCTATGAGGCGGTGGATGAAGAAAGGGATGATATCACACGTTCTATTACGAGAACCAGAGCTTTAGATGACGGTAGAGAAAGAACCAGTGATCGCATACCCATAGTTCCAGTTCAGAGACCTGAATTTCCATTCGACACAGTGAATGCAGATATAATCGGTCCATTTGAACCTCCATCGGCACGTAAACACAAATATGTACTATGTTTAGTCGACCAACATTCTAGGTGGCCAGAAGCTGTCCTTTTGAGAACAATTATAGTAAAATCAACATGGGACGCATTATTAGAAATCTTTATAAGAACGGGCATACCTCGGGTAAGCAGTAATACTCTTACACGCATACACACACATCTATGTTTCATGTCTGACTTTTTAGTAATTGCGGCATCATAAATTTCATTTCAATCGAAATAAAACAAATCATTATGAAACACAAAAATATAAAATTATATTACAATTGTTTATTACTAATAATGATTACAGGATATACTTAAAAAGGCACTAAATCTTTGGCATTTCCATGAAATATTTGAAAAATATTTTATTATAAACAATTTGTCTGAAATGCTTTTTTACTTCATCCATAGAACTAGGCGATATATACATCATCTGTTTTAACTGAACGGGCTACATATTGCTGAACTATTATTACATTAAAAATTTCTGTATAAAATTTAAGTGAAATCTGTATGAACACTGTGTCTTATAATTGATGCATTATACTAATATAAACATTATTAAACTAATGCAATTAACATAATGATTCATTATGAAATGAATATACGAACATATTACTTGATGAAAAAGACATAAAATATGTGTAACAATTATATAAGCTAACGTTTTCACATCTACAAAAATATATGCATATCACACCTAATTCCATGCATTTTCTGGAAGTTGACTTAAAATTCATTATTTGATGTTCAAAAGTAATTAATTATAAGTGCCAGCACTCTTTCATATTGCATTTTGTGGACTAAAATTTGCAATAAAGTTTTCACACATATTATTAAAAGTTCACAAAAGCGGGAAAAAAAAAAGTTTGTAATAGTTTTTATATAAGTCTGAATTAGGTACAACAATGTTACATTACAAGTAAAAGGTTGACTTATGTTGCAACCTTTCTCCTTGTCCGAATACTGCTTTCCTGCTTGATTCTTGATGTTTCCGATACACTCTTAGTTGAATTTGAGTTGCCTGGTGTATTTGCGGTTTTGCTCGGACCGCTGCTTTTTTTCACAAATTTCACACTTCCGTTATGATTAATGGTTATTTTCTTTGCATTTACAGACTGAGAAGTTTTTTCCGTTGCATTCTGATCACTTTTTTTAACTATTTTTAAATTTGTTCTTAGACTACACAGTGAAGAAATGCTCGAAGATCGGCTCTCTTTTCCGTTTTTATCACTTTCAGATTTTCCGTTTGAGATGATATTTGGTATTTTATTATGCCCCTTACTGTTTATTTGAGATCTTTTAGTCACAGACGGTGACTGACAAGGAGAACAAGATGTTGGAGTGCCAGTTTTTGAAGAAGGAGGTAAAACTCTTTTCCCACTAACTTGGGATACAGTTCGTTGAGTTGTTTTACCTTCTGTTAGCACAGGCTCTCGACTCACTGTTTGTTGTACTTTAACATTTTGTGTAGTTTTTATAACACTCGGGATGCTTGTTCTGACTTTTTGAATATTAACTTTTGATTTTGAAAGTTGAGGTACCGTTTTTCTATTTGGAGGAAGAGAAGATTTAGGCATAATAACTTTACTTTCCGTTTCTGTACTCACAGTCACTTCATGTGATACATTTCCATTGGTTGCACCAGCTGATACTGATTCCGGTGGACTAGTATTCGAAGGATGTTCCATTGAATTTGTGTTCTGTTGCGGATTTTCAGCGTTTTCACTTTTTTCATCAATATTCGGTTTACCATTCTTTTCCTCTGTAGCTTTATCAGACGAATGAGGTTCCTTGGATGAACAAGGACTTGTATCTAGGTGGTCTTCATTTCCATTTGCACAAGTTTCTAAATTTGGTTTAGATGGCAATACTGTTTTGTTCATATCACTCAAACTAGATTCTGCATTTTCATTCAAAGGAGATGTCAAAGGAGTTGTTAGAGAGTCTATCCTTCTTGCTAATCGAGACTGTCGTGATCTTAGAGATGTACTTCGTCTATTAGAGAATGGTACATTATCCTTACCCGGAGCTCCGTCATTTGAGGACATAGCACTTTCTGCTGGCAATGGTGATAATTCAACAGAAGAATTATAATCCACTTCCGGTTGAAGTTGTGTTTCATGCTCAGCAGTCTTTACAATGTTCGAACTTGCGAAAGTTTCATTACTTGTTAAAACATCTACTTGTGGATTGTTTGACACAACAGAAAGCGGAAAACTTTGCTGGGACAAATTTTTGCTTTCCTTTGTTTTCACAGTCGAAGCAAGTATAGTGTTTTCAGCCTCAATACGCATTTCACGTAATTTTATACGCCTCTGTGTTTTACGAGTAGCTGAGAAACGGTCAAAAGGATTTGTGGAAATTTTAGATGCATTTTTATCGTCTGTTTTCACAGATTCTGGATCTGAAGAAGATGGTGATGGGGTCTGTTCAAAACTACTACCTGCCGAGTCTATTAGGGAAGAACTGTTAACTATTGACCGAGAAACTTCCGCATCATCTCTAGAAACTCTTGTCATTTCATGCTTTCTGCTAGGTGTCTCTCTTGTGCTATGATAAAGGCGCGATCTATCAAATGCTTTAGTTTCATGCGATGCAGCATCAAGAAGGCCAATAATCTTTTGGGTGAAACTTTCAGTTTGTCGCGAAAGAGCTGCTTTAGTAATTTTCGCGACATCGTATTCCCCATCATCGCAATTATTTTTGGCAGGTAAATCAATTTCTCGTAGACGGCATACTGCTTGTTTTTCAAGATTTACTTCATCAGCTTCCTCAGCAATACCATTGTCACCATCGCTGTTCAACAAGTTTTGACCATTTAAATGCTGTCGCTTTTTCCGCTCTTGCTGCAGTCTGATTTGAAGATCTCGATCTCGTTTTTGCTCTCTCTCGTTTTGCAACATCCATTCATTAATTTTGGCTTTGAGTTTTTGTTTGGTGCTAGCTTCCAACTCTGTGTCTTCTACAACAGGCAAAGAAGGTGGAGGTGAAGAACTGTTTCTTTCTCTGGTCTGAATTTCGCCATTTAATACATCACGCTTACGCCTTCCAGACCGTCTCACAGGAATCCTTTCAAAACCTCCATCATCTGAAGTCCCAAAAGTACGGCGTTCTTTTTGTTCGTCAACTGCTGAAGGATTCTGAAGATAATCGATAATTTCATCACCATTAGCTTCATCTAAAAATCTAGCTCTTCGACTTTTAACAATTCCAGACCTTTCATCTTGCTGACTTGTGTCATAGCACTTCGCTATCATAGCTGGATCACTGTGACGTTTTAGAGCCATTTCTGACCTCGAATGAGCACCAATAGTTCGGTTACTTCCAGTGGATGTATCATCGGGATCAGGACTTTTTTTTCCTTTTCTGTATATGTCACCTAACCGTCTTTCGGGGAAACCACTTCGGATGTCACCCAGCAACTGGTCCATTATGTGATCAGCATCAATTCCAGATCGACTGTCGGGTACTGCAAGGTATAAAAAAGGTATTTCAAATAATGTAAATAAATATTTTAAAATATGCAGAAAAGCTATCTTAAATAATATATACTTTTCGAAACACTTGTAAAAAATTGAAAGTGTGATTTTCGGACCAACAATGTTGGGCAACAAAAGACTTCTGTGTTTTCTTTTTTCTAACATATGCTTCGTGTTCCTTAACGCGAAATTTTAAGGCTCTCTTAGTTTGGCTAATGTAAATTAAACCACAATGGCAAGGAATCCTGTAAATACCCCAGGAATTCATATCTGGAATGGGGTCCTTGAGTATGGAATTCGGAATTTTTATTGATGGGAGTTAGTTAAATTTCTGCAAAATACGTGCAACTTTATAGCTCATTGATAGAAAGAAGGGAAGGACAACATAATTTTTATAATCTCCTTAAACAAGAGTGTGCCTTTTGGTGTGTTGAGATGAGAATTTTTTAACTGCTTGATTGTCTTATCAATATATATTATCTCGTTCATTTGCGCGTTTGCAGCTGAAGATGATGGTTCGGTAAAACCATCGAAACTAGTCTTGTGAAAATTTGAAAATATAAAATACTCGTTTCTACCTCATTTACATAAATCGTAATCCTGAAAACTCATTCTGGCAGGGAAACGTAGGTGGAAATTTAGAATGTACAGGGAAGGCTTGTTCCCAAATAAAAATAACTATTAGAAAATTAAAGTAAAATCTGAAAACGTATCGTAATAATTTCCTGCACACGCAAGTTTACTTCAGAATCGTAATAAATAATACATTTTTCGAGTGAATTAAATGAAATAAGGTCAAAGTTCTAAATCGCAGAATGTGCCCAAATCATTAACTGGTTTTCAAGTTGTTTCGAAGACCTTATTCAGCACATTTTAGTTGCTCATACGGAAGTCGTTCCGAAAATGAAAATCACATTTTTGAATCACTTGAAATTATACATTTTTACTCGTTTGCAAAAGTACTTCTAAATACTAATACTGAAATTCAAAGAACAGCGGAATTCAGTTATGTTAATTATTAAATCTTAAACTGTTTCTTTTTCTCCTTATCTGCATTTATTTTAGAATTACAATCATATCTGAATTTATTTAAATGTTTTTAACTTATCTGTTGTTGTTGTTGCTTATCCTCGAAAGAACTGACATATGTCAGATCAGCTCCAGAAGGTTGTTGACCGTAAAAAAATCAATAACACTGAGGGGGATCAGATGGTAAGTCCTCCTTAGAAAGTCCGATGCAACCCAGTATGTGATCCAGTGAAGCTGGGTGGTCACAGCATTTTTTACAAGCGAGGTGGAGTTTTCTGCCACCATCAAAGGAAAGACATTTAAGGTGGCAACTTGTAAGTCTAGCCAGAGCAGTCTGGGATCCACGGTCACATTTAATTTTCAGAAGGGACTCAGGCGATGTTCCTGTGTACCATTGGTGCGTAGGTGGAATAACCCATGTTATATTTAGATCTTTCATTTGAGTAAAGTTCTTGGTAAGTAAGTGAGGAGCCAGTAACCGTTTCATTCTCACTACCCTCTCTTGCCAGTTTATCAGCGACCTCATTACCACTAATATTAAAGTGTGAAGGGATTCACTGGAGGTGGACGTCGTGGTCTAAGAGATCTTCCTCAGTTTGAACAAAATAGATATGCTGGTTTCATCACGTGTGGACGACCAGCCACTAAGATTTTGTAGTGCACTGCGGCTGTGCGATAAAATCCATAGTTCCTCAACATCACAATCATAAGCCAAGATGGCTTCAAGCCCCACATTAATCGCAATTAACTCGAAGAGACAGCACGTGTCTTTTAACTTATTTACATATCATAAAATACTTACATTCAAGACTCCTCCTCTTCAGAGCAATATGCTCTTCTCTTTGTTTTCTCCTCGCTTCTGCTAATTTTTCTTGTTTTTGCCTTCGTTCATTTTCCTGCAGATATAAAATAATATCTCATACGTGCAATTTTCTTTAGCAAGTACTATAATACACTAAGTTAATAATACAAACAATATAGGGATTTACTAAAACACTGAAATACGGATGAGATGAAATTATATAAAATTTTCATGATTATTAATCGTTATTTATAGTATATAAAAATAAAACAAGAAGTTTACATGCGTTAAGTCTGTTTAAAAACAACACTGAAATAAAATAGACAATGCTGTTCCTCTCTTAGTCTCTTTTATCTCGCAAGAGTTTTGGTTAGGTTATTTTGTATATGGCAAAACACACAAGAGCTACCTACTTAAGCGGATGGATGCCTTCCTGGAGTATATTTTAACAGAAACTGGCTAGTATTCGCATTACACATGGAGAAAACCATTAAAATTAACATGCAGCTATTCCATCAGCTTCGGTTTGAACCCGGGTTGAAATAGCAGTTTTCACGGTCTTAACCACTCGGCCGCTAGTGGTGCGCCTCATGTGAGGAGTATACCTCATTACTGCCATCTTTCAGCCGTAGAGAATTTTATGTTAATTAACCAATTATTTAGAATTCAGCTTTTACTATAACTTCTCCTATCCATATTTCTCACCAAAATAAAAATGACTAACCAGTATTTAAACTGAGGTTTTTGGATTTTAAAAATACACTATGTTTGTGGAATCATACGCACGGTACGTTTTAGTTTCCCACCAGCTCTGATAGTTGCAATTATTCAGCTCTGCATTCTATGGCTGCCGACATTTATATTCTCACGTTCAGGTAAAATAGTGAGCCAGCTCCTAGTATAGTAATGAACTGTGCAATTTTGACTACTGTTCCTTGTTTAACTTGACTGTTCTACTTAGTTGAATCATTACGAGCTGTGGCTTATACGGTAGCACAAGAAAGGGCCTTTGTTTTCTAAATTCTGTTTAAATTAAAAAGTCTTAGGACCTTGTCGTTGTTTTAAATATAGCGATGATTCGCTTCACGTCTGTTAGGGTTACCGAACTAATTGATATTATACTATTAACATTGCTTTAGTAACATTCAAGGGAAGTTCTATACAGTATTCTGACAATTCCAAAGTGTTCATCGTCTTACTACTAAGAAAGACGATAGATTATTCCTATTTTATAAATTGTATATTTATCATATCATTCCTCATTTCACTTTATATTAGTGTTACTCAGCTTGATTTGCTAAGCTACTCTTGAAGCGTAAGGGCGCTCAAAATTTGTTTATACAAAAGTAAATGCTTCTTTGTAAATGACTAGTCTCAAAGAAATGTGGAGCAGGGAAAATTTATATTACTTTGATAAGGCAGAAATATTACATTTTATTAATTTAAAAATAACTAAAAATCTTTCATTCCCTTTGAACCTTACATGATGTGAAATTAATTAATAGTTAAAGGAAATTAAGTAATGCAAAGTATGTAAATTAGGAAGCGAATAAAACAGCATAAGGATATCGTATTTCCGATTTGAAAGGGGAAGTAAAATCTGAAAGGAATATTTGGACTAAGTCGAAAAGCCAAGAATATTGTCAAAGAAGGATGAATAGAATGGCTTTATTATTCATTACAAGATTTATAGTATTCGTTACATTCAATTATTCAATTATTTATAGAATTCATTACAAGATTTATCAATTAATAAATAGTATTTTAAAGACGAACTAAATGGTTTTGTCAAAGCCAATGGCTGAAGTTAATCGAAAATTGATGCTTAAATCTAAAATAATAGCCAAATTTAGATAAAAGATATTTGTATGCTTCATGAAAGCACAAAAATTAATTTCACCGAAAATAACTGAGAGAAATTTTAGTGGCATGATTCTGATTATTAATGATTTAACCTGCCAAAATACTGAAAATGCCATGTCTACGAATCAGTGGTATCAGACAGGGAAAGAAAGCGACGCATAACACCAAGAAAATAAAGATTTCATTACTAATTTTAATGATTTTATGTTCAACTCTTGTATGTATCAGTTGTCAATTATTCACTGAATTTTATTTTTAGAGTACTCCCACGTAACAAAAATGGATGTTATTTACAGCATATTTGATTTTCAAATCGTTCAAAAATACACGTTAAATTCTTTCTGAATTTGAACATACATTTTCATCTTGTTCGAAACATGTTCTAGAATACTTTTTAAATTAACCTTAAATATTCTATGTACTTATAAAATATTATGGTATTTTCTTTTGATCTAGAGAACCTAGACGAATAAATATAGTACAATGCTTACAAGGTATGAATGAATTTTTATGATTTGGTATGTATTATAACTTCTCCTTTTCGTTAACTCTCAGCAACATGCAAATGAGTTAAGAGTATTGACCGTAAGTGTCTTAAATGTTTTAGAGACAGAGCTTTCGGAACTATGATCGCAGTTTTACTTTTTATTGTCTAGGTCTGCCACTTAGTATTCCGGCATTAGCCATATACTAGCCGACGTTAAAACGTGTCACTTAAGTTTGGGTTAGCTTAGTTAGGCCAAATTTGTGCTCTGTGCGGCTACGATCCCTTTTTTAAAATTGTACATTCAGCTTTATGTTATTTTAACACCCGCGAGTGACGAAGTTTTGAATGTACGCCCAAGTTGGGCTCCCCCTCCCCCAAGTAAAAATGTTTATTTAAAACCTTCTTAAAACTCTGTTGTACATTTTCAGACGCAGCGATAACTCGCTTGGCAATCTAACAGGGTCTGAAAAAACATTTAAGCTAAAATTAATCAAATAGAATCATACATACTGATATGGTTCTAATTCGAGGGGAAAAAAATCGTATTTTTTTGCGCTCGATGTTTTGATCGCAAAGCTAAAAATGAGAGCGAAAATATGGTAATAGCATACTAAAAATTTAGTCAATATTATACAAAAACTAACATAATGCAAAAATTATTAACTTATTTAAATTACGTGAAAATTTATGCCTTTATTTTGTTAACTTTAAATACAAGAAAAAAGAAGTTTAAAATTTAGTAAACGATAGTTCTGATGAGTCAGATTTTCCAGATTTCTAACATCATACATAATTAGTAACAAGTCGAATCTTAAAGGTACATATCAGATGAAAGGTAAAACTGCAATACTTCAGAACACATTTTATCACACTTTTTCAAATATAGTGAACCTTTGTGGTAACTTTCTCCCTCAGGTGATTAGCTTTGAAACTGACCCATAATCCCGAGAGCACGAATATAAATCAATACCAAGTATCGCCTGTTAAGAAGACCATAATACTCTGTAACTGAGGTTGAACGTATTTTTGGCAAGTGTGATAAAAAATATTCTTTCTGAAAACAAATAACAGTAAAATACCTTATTTTCAAGGACATGCTTACAACAACTTATGTATTCAATAAAATGCCTTTCTAAAACCGCAAGTAGTTCTTCCATCAAGGATATGCAGACCCTTGTCACTGTAGTGGTTGTATTATGCAGCAGTGTAATTATGGGTTAACTAACTAACGATAAATGGGAAAAAAATTGTGTATGGGATGACAACAATTGAAATGCATGCAATATGTACCTGCACTGCTGCCTTGAATCTCGTACAAAAGTTGTGGAAAACTTTGAAACAATCTTCTAGTTTGAAGGTATCTGTATCTTCACACAGGAAATCGGCCAGTTTCTGACGAACACTCTCCAGATTGTTTATCTCATTTTGAATCGTTTCCACCTTGTTCTCTGCAAACTAAGAAATTAAAAAAAGGAGAAATGTAACGGCTATACTTGTAACATAATATTTACTATAGTACATAATTAAATAATATTTATTTGGATAGACGCAGTTTATCATGGATCAAATGATTATATGCGCAGTATATCATGGATTATGCAAAACATTAAAGGCTTTCTGCTTAAGATGGTATACTTTTGAACAGGACTTTCTATGTCTCATATTTATATTGTATACAGATCCAAGAAAGTGTACTAAAAATCCAAAAATTATCTCATTCCGAGGGAAATACGGGATGAAGCTATTAATGACATACAGTAATGAAGAAGGCTGGATGAAGGTATTATTGATACGCGGTAATGAAATAGGCCTATGTCAGGGTTTCTTAATCTGTGGTCCTCGAAGTCTGCCCTTATTGTCCTCTTATATATTCCAAAAGGGCAAAAATAATGTTCAAATTAACTCCGCTTACCACACTTATAGCTGAAAATCTCCAAAGTTGGAAATTACACAAGGCAATCGTCTATCACCATTTTCTCTCAAGACTGGCATTTTATGAAATGTATTACCGGTTACCCAATTTATAAACTTACTCCTTTAATCTTAGCTACAGAGGGATTTAAAGTATTATGGTTCTTCTTACCAACATACACCCAAGCATAGAACAGCTATGCAAGAATCCGCAGGCTCATCCATCATATTAATGAGAGTACCAATATTTATTTCAATTTTTAGTTAATAAGTTAAAAGATTATCCTAAATCTAACGCATTGAATTATTAAAAACCAATTTAAATTTTCTTCTATTAACTTAATTACTTATTATCAATATAAAATTAAATGAATTTTAACGTTATATTTTAAAAACATGAACACTGGTTAAGCTAAAAAAATTCTTTCGAAAAAGATGCCCGCAGGACTTTCTAATTTATAAAAGTGGTCCCCACTTGAAAAAAGTTAGAGAAACACTGGCCTAGATAAATCATGGAATATATATGTCATAACGTTATTAATTATGTGTAACACATGGAGCAGTTACTGTGTTGTTAATTAATTTGCTATGTTTAGAATGACCATCTGAATACAAATAAAAAATCATCTCCCCCCCACTGTAAACTATACAGTGTCTATTTGACAGGCGAACTAAAATGGAGGTACAAGTATAAGTGTACTTTCGAAAAAGATGCCCGCAGGACTTTCTAATTTATAAAAGTGGTCCCCACTTGAAAAAAGTTAGAGAAACACTGGCCTAGATAAATCATGGAATATATATGTCATAACGTTATTAATTATGTGACCAATGAGCAGTTACTGTGTTGTTAATTAATTTGCTATGTTTAGAATGACCATCTGAATACAAATAAAAAATCATCTCCCCCCCACTGTAAACTATACAGTGTCTATTTGACAGGCGAACTAAAATGGAGGTACAAGTATAAGTGTACGGGACAGCAGAATTTCACCATACGTTGCACAGTCCCACCTCACTAACTGTACAGCTCCGCCCCAATTTTGAAGGAGAACACCAGGAACCTATCCCCCCTCTTCTCCTACCACTAACCAATCGACAGAATTTTCAGCTCGCCGTGTATTTTGAGTGCTTCCTTGCAGCACAGACACTGTACACTTACAAAACATTCCCGCCTTCTACAGGATTTGAACTCGTGCCTATCGGTACGGCAGTCAGCGTCACTAACCACGTCGGGGGGCAAAACTAAAATGGAAAAAAAAATTCTGATGGCACTGTCTACTGTATATATTTTTGGGAGGGGGTGTAGATAAAAAGAAGGATTAAAAAGGGAAATCAGAAATGAAAGTAATGTGAATAATATTAAACCTGAAGGAACTCTTGCATTTGAGACTTGATCTGCTGTTCGGCATTCGCCACTTGAGAGGATACTCTAGATACTCTCTGAATAAGGGATGATACATCAGTTTTCAGCGTTTCCATGGAAATTCTATAAAAACGAAAAAAATATATAATTTTAAAAGCAAAAAATTTTTAAATAATAATGTTTAATACTTTTCTCGAGAATATTTTCAGCCCATTCTTTTTTTTTTTTTTTTTTTTTTTTTTCATATGATAATATTTAGCAAGCAGAATGTGACCAGCTGCCTATTGGAAAATATTTCCTCTTCTGTATATTAATGGAAGAATTAATAGAATAAGAAGATACCATACGAATGATTGAGACAGTAAAACTGCTAATTGTTCGATAAAACATCATCCATATACTGTGACTTTCGCCAGTGTCCAGAAACCCTTTCAGAAAACTACCATCTGCCTAGATACCAAATGGGCAGTACTGATTGATGCCTCAGTCTGTGGCTAACTTTTATTAGGCAGAAAATGAAAGAGCAATTTATACTACTAATCTGGGCTTGAATGAGAAGGTGACTTCATATGTAACAGCTAATTAAAAGAAGACCTGGCATGGTTAGGCCCATACACACACTGGGAACATTTCCGGATGAATAAATGTTTAGTGATTTTTTTTTTTCCCTCTTTGTCTCAAGTAGTGACGTAGTTAGAGGGGGAAGAGAGGGTGGAACATTTTTGGAGGAAACATTTTACCCGAGAAACATTATTTTATGATTCTGAAAGTTGCATACCGAATTAAACTGAGGGAAAAAATAGTTTTCACTCGAGATAAAGTATTCAGCGAAATCACTACGAGATTTCAACAGATACATACCCTTTGTATACCGTTTATATTTCCTCGAAACTTATGAATGAAAAATTACTAAAGTCAGCTAAATTATGATTATTGAGACAGTAATAAGGATTAAGAGAAAAGCATTTTAGCAGTTCTGTTTCTGTTATTACTATAGAAAACGAAACAGGAACATGGAGGAGCGATCCTTTTGAATTTGTGCAGTTATTCCAAAATACAATATTCAGAAAAAAGTTCCAAATACTGTAATACTATTCCGAACTTTCTTCACAGTTGCTGTAAGCGCTGCCGGTTGTGAGAAGAGTTTTTTAAACAAAAAACATTTAGAAAGTATTTTAGAATTAAATATGGTTTTTTGGGCATTTATGAAGTATTTAAGAAATATTTTAACTTATTTTTCTTATTTTAACTCCTTATTTTGCTTTTACGAGTCTATCTATACTGTCTACATTACATTGAAGTGACAAAAGTCATGGGATACCTCCTAATATTTTGTCGGTCCCCTTTTGCCCGGCGAAGTGCAGCAACTCGACGTGGCATGGACTCAACAAGTCGTTGGAAGTCCTCTGCAGGAGTATTGAGCCATGCTGCCTCTATAGACGTGTCCATAATTGTGAAAGTGTTGACGGTGCAGGGTTTTGGGCACGAACTGACCTCTCGATGATGTCCCATAAATGTTCGATGGGATTCATGTCGGGCGATCTAGGTGGCCAGATCATTCGCTATAATTGTCCAGAATGTTCTTCTAACCAACCAATCGCGAACAATTGTGGCCCGGTGACATGGCGCATTGTCATCCATAAAAATTCCATCGTTGTTTGAGTACGTGAAGTCCATGAATGGCTGTAAGTGATCTCCATGTAGCTGAAGGTATCCATTTCCAGTCAATGATCGGTTCAGTTGCACCAGAGGACCGAGTCCATGCCATGGAAAAACAGCCCAGACCATTATGGAACCACCACCAGCTTGAACAGTGCCTTGTTGACAACTTGGGTCCATGGCTTCGTGGGGTCTGCGCCACACTCGTACCCTACCATCAGCTCTTACCAATTTAAATCGTGACTCATCTGACCAAGCCCCAGTATTCCATTCGTTTAGGGACCAACCGATATGCTCACGAGCCCACGATAGTCGCTGCAGACCATGTTGTGCTGCCAGTAAAGGCACTCGAGTCTGTCTTCTGCTGGCATAGCCCAAGGAAGACAAATTTCGCCGCACTGTCCTACCGGACACGTCCCTCGTACGTCCCACATTGATTTCTGCGGTTATTTGACGCAGTGTTGCTTGTCTGTGAACATTGACAACTCTACGCAGACGTCGCTGGTCTCGGTCGTTAAGTGCAGGTGGTCGGCCACTGCGTTGTCCATGGTGGGATGTTATGCCTGAAATTAAATACTCTTGGCACACTCTTGACACTGTGGATCTCGGAATGTTGAATTCCCTAACGATATCCCCGAAATGGAATGACCCATGCGTCTAGCTCCAACTACCATTCCGCGTTCAAAGTCTGTTAATTCTCGTCGTGCGGCCATAATCACGTCAAAGCCTCTTCACATGAATAACTTGAACAGAAATGAAAGCCCTGACAAAGCACTTCGCATGTATGCATTTTCTACGCGATACTACTGCCATCTGTATATTTGCATGTTGCTATCCCATGACTTTTGTCACTTCAGTGTATAGCAATTGTAGCAATCAAGTGGACCTCTGCGATGTCATCAACGGTTTTGAGAACAAGCAATAATAATAATACAATTTTAAAATGTTAAAAAATAAACAAAAATAAACAGCGTTTAAATTTATTTTCCTATATGTCATTTTGATATTTTTTAGTATTTCCAGAAGGGTGGAAAATTCAGGGACCGCTCGGATAGCCTTTAGCTATGCCACTGGCCTGAGACATACAACAGCCGATCACCATTGGATAAATTTGGAGCTACTACATAAAATGAAACTGCTCTTTGTTACAGACATAGATGCTACCAACAATGAACTCCCATTCAAATTTAGTGCTCGTAAAAACGTACAATATACAACTTCTTGGGGTAGGGAGCAAAAAAATTGCGAGTCTTTCTTGCAGTCATAAAGGCGGCAGAAAAACTGCTTGAAACAGTTGTTCATTCAAAATTCCGGTCAGTGATAATGCTCTTATGCTTACTCCAGCACAATTATTAAGTTGGTTTAGACCAGTGGTTCTCAACCTTTTTCTCCTTACGAACCACTTTTGTAATCGTTAGGAACAGGTAAGAAAATTTACTTTACATGTTGCAATATAGTTAACAGGAAATGAAAACATAATCGTAAACGATATAAGTGTAACTTATTAATAAAACTAAAATGATAGAAAATGAAAACAAAATTAATTCAACAAGCTAATTCGTATTTAGTTAAGCATACGTTAAATTTGTAGAAAACTTTTTATGTGATATTTGTGGCTATCTGATGGAGCAAAGAAATTCAAAGTTTGGCTCAATGTCTGACATCAGTCTTAAAGTGGGCGCTTTATTTATCTTTAAGGTAAGTATATGCTGAAAATTCTTTCTCACATAGATATGTTATGCAAAAGGACTATTAATTTCGTTTTGGCATTTTGCGTTGATTCACTTTTTAAATTATTGCCACCAAATATTAGAGCCCTGTATTATATTTAAAGAAATTAAATAATGAAGATCTGCATAATTTTCTCGCATTGTGATGAAACAATGGTACCTAGGGCAATCAAATTTTGTGTAACGTACGTTTCCACCCATCGGGTATCTGGAAATCCGAATTTGGAATTCGTGTTATTTTTTTTATACATCCACACACATTTTTTTTTTTTAAAGCTCCGCCTTTTCTTATAAGATTTTAGTGAGATTCAGAGATCGATTCAGGATCGTGCATGCCGCAATTGCTAGGGGCTTCCAAATTACTAATTAATTTTTAAAAAACAGTAAATACACTCTTTGTTTTGGAATAAAAAGAGGGGCTTCAAACCTCCAAAAGTTGAAGGGCCCCCCTTCTTCATTGATACGTCACTGGAGATTGCCTTTGAAAAAAAGGCGGAGTTTTCTATCCTCCAACATGATTTTTTAATAAAATAGAACAAAATATATACATGGTTTTCACTTTCAACTGACATGCCTCGCATTTTATCGATAGTATGAAGAAGAGGTGCCAACGTATATTAAAGCCAGCATATGAATATTTCATAAACCAGTTGACAGTATACGAAGCACGCCTTAAAGTTAAAACGTTTGACATTGTTTCCCACTATTGAAGCTGTTTTTACAAAACCTATTCGTTTCCTTTTGCTTCTCATTAAGGAAAAAACATTACTGCTTTGTTAAATATATATAAATTAAACATTACTGTTTTGTTAACTACATATTATCAATACAAAACAATAAATAAATGATTTGCATTAGGCACAAGCTGTTTTTTTAACCTCCCTTCTTGAATAAACCTATGGTAAAACTTTTCCATTTTCATCCTTTAAAAAATATTCTTCTCCCCTCCCCTCCAAACAGCATTTTATTTTAGCTATAAATTATTATTGCTTATTGTTATTGCTTTTCTGAAAATTAAAAATTAAAACAATGAAATGTCTACGCTGACTAAGTGAACTATTTTGACCGATTAAATGTTTTCCTGCTTTAAAAAATTAATCAAAACTGCTGCTATAACATGCAGATGTGCATACCCTATTTTGGTTGCAATCGGCCGCACCAAAAGTTAAATATATAAATGTTACATATATATATATACATACATATATAATTAAAGAGAAGAGAACAAACAAAAAAAGACTTTTGTGGTCAAAAAGTTTGCGCATTGAGCTGCAAAATTTAGAAAACGAGTTAAAAGAAAATTCCTAGTTCGTACGCCAAAAAGTTGCTTATATTATCCACTCTGTTAATCAGCTCAGTGATCGCAGTTTCTTTATTCTTATATAATTATTGAATTATGTTGTTCCTATCTTCCGGTTAAGGTTTTCATGCCTTTTAGTAAATCTGCATGCAATATTTGTAGAATTATCAACAATTTAAAAGTTGTTTAAGTGCGGCTAAGCCTAATCATTTTTTACTGTAGCAGCCGTGTTTGTTTACATTTGAAACTTAGTAAATTAGTGAATTTGTTGCCAATCTAGAGAAGCCAAGCTTCGCAACAAAAAAAAGATAATGCCTTCTTTTATTATTGCGAATTAAATCATGCTTAATCCATTCTGGAATTTATTCGAGGAAATAAGTGGTTTAAGATTTATTTCGGAATTTTTAAAATAGATGTTTTGAGTTTTTATGTATTTTTGCTTTGTCGCAAAGTGAGAACTGAATTAATTTAATTAGAAATACTGAATCGTCTGTGAAAAACTTTTTTGTTGTTGTTGTTTGTTTGTTTGTTTGTTTAATTTCTTTTATACATCGTTTTAGATTTATTATAGTATTTGAATAGAACATGTGACAACGATTAGATTATTCTTCTGATGATATAAATTTTGAGCATTCTGAGTTATAAAATGAGTGAGATGTAACGCTGTTAAGTGAACGTAGCGCCAGAGTGTCGCTATGGTAAACAAATATAGTGAATTTTAAAGAGTGCATTTATTCTATTGTGGTTTATGCGCTATCGACGAAGTAGATTTAATTTAATCCAATAAGTTTAAATGCAATGCAAGAAAAAATACGTATAATTTAATATTCCGTCTAAGGAAGTCATGTGGTGTACACATCAGGTTTTTTTATTGAGCTGAGAATAATTGTAAATGTTACAATCAATCTACTATTTACTTATCTCAGTACTTGCATTCAATTTTGAAAGTGTAAGTTCTTCAAAATATATATTGAGAATGAGCTGATTATACCTTATTGTTAAAATTAAAAGTTATACATGAATAAATTTTTGAAAGTATTTCTTGTGCAGGCTATATACATTTAAGAATGAACATTTATTAATGTGAAATTTAGCACACTAAAATGTGTACGAATGAAAATCAGGAAAGTTCACTTTGAGTGAAATTTTGCATTGGTTATTATTATATACTGTACATTTATTATCTTTTTCATAATAAATACTAAGACTTCTACTATTTACATCTATAATTATGTTTATATTTAACTTCTCACTGAAAATTTTCACAAGTAAACCACGATGCTCTGATTATTTTGTACAGCAAAATTCCATGACAAAACATTTTCAATCATCTTGCTTACACCGCGGTAAAAGTCATGTGAAATGACAGAAATATTACTGGAAGCCCATTGGTTCATTCTAGAAGCCACTCCCTCGGTGGCGGTATAGATGTGCACTTACGAAATATGCTTCCCGTTGAAACGTCCCAGTGCGTTCTTCATTAGGATCGAGAAAATGATTACACATTTTTCAGACTTTTTCAGAAAATGATTACACATTTCAGTTTCAGACTTTGTTTTATTAAATCTGCATTTAGAATTGGATCATTTTCTTCATTCTCACTACATTCTGAAGGGATTAGTTGTCTTAGGAGCAACCTCTAACATTTCATCTTCGCTAAGCGATAATAAGTGATAAATAAGTAATTTATCAAACGACTGAACATCGAATCCTTTTCCAACTGTGTGTGCTTTCGTAATGATGCTGGGAAATTCGGTAATGTTAATGGTGATGGAATCTTTGCTTGTAGCCGAAATGCTTCCCAATACGCATTTTAGAATTTAGGTTGGGTTCGTGTTAAATCAAAATGACACATGTGAAAAGGAAATGAAATATTTATTTTTAATTCATGTTACATCAAATTCGAGTAAAAACAGAATTTAGCTGCATCTGTTTTCTTTTATTCCTACTGTAATATATTCTATGTCAAAAGCAGTGTTGCGCTCAAACATTTAAAAATGTTTCACAAAGTTTGTTTTTAAGTTGCCTCTTCTAAAAGCGCCCTCAAAGTTTAATTTTGTTTTGCGCTAAGCTCTCTTCACAAATTTATATTATTTCTTTTGATTCTGACCTTCTACGTTTTGTAAATCACTTCAGAGAATAGTAGTGAATTATTCCAGCAAAATGCTTCTCTGTTAAATATAATAATGCATCTGTTATTATTCAATATAAAACAGCCTCTATTTGCTTAACATAATCCTTCCATGATGCTAAGTAAGTTTGCTCGTTTCTATTAAATTTAATTTCTTCCAGTTTCTAGGATTGTTCCTTAAAAGCATCTTGGTAAGAAAACTTCAATTTGAAGAATTTAAACCAGAATAGTTATTCTTGGAAATCGCTATTTTAACTTTAAATATGTATTTCATTTTTTTCTAATCATAAATACTTTTTGTATTATGACCAAAGGAATGGATCAATCACGTATACGTTGAAATCTTGTATTTTCAACCCTAATAAATCTGAATGCATGCGAACGAATCTCTTTAATTTATAGGTAGCAGAAACTTCAGGTTGTTACACATGATTGTGAAATATGTTCTTTATACAGAAAACTCCCAGTATTCTCCACCCCCAAAAATACTCGAAAGGAAGAACCTAAAAGTTTTGCATTTCTGGTTATACTAGTATTAAATGGTAGAATGATATACACAAAGTTCTCACTTGTTTATCTGCGTCATACATGCTACTTTTTCATTAAAAATGTGAAATTTAGATCTTCTCTTTTACATCTGATATTCATTTTATAATGTATTAGATCCGTAACCACCCTCTCAAATAAAAAAAAATAATAAATAAATAAATAAAATAAAATAAAATAAAAAAGAGACTTACTTCGAAGCTTCCTCAAGATTTTGAACTTCGTCGATAAATGTCAGTAGATCTGGTCTCTTTTTGGTCACTTGCTGGAAAGTATGGGAAATTAAAGAATAAGATACATAAATTCTTTATACTAAATAATATTCTTTATACTAAATAATTATATAATAGTTGTATCAAATAAAATTATTACATACCTCTGCAACATAATGTATTAAAGTAACACTAGGTTTGTTTGCACGAATATCCGTTAACTTCAGTAAAGACAGCATTTTGAATCCGGCTGCATTACCGCCATAACCACCCTGAAGAAACATAACGAATATTTATCGAAGAAGTTTCGTTTATAGCAAAACATAATTCATTTTAAAATACAGTCAAAAATAAAATGATGCATATCTTAATATTTAAGATAATTTATCTACATGAACATTCATATAATTTAGTACAGCAGTATATGTATTCATATATTTAGTACAGGACACTGGATTTAATTTCTAAAATTAGACGTGTCGAATCCCATAGAAAGCTGTGAAGAAAGAAGAAGGCGGGGAAAATAATAAATGAAACTTTTCCTTTCTCAGGTGTAATTCGGTTGCCCACAATGAATAACGTTTCTGGATAACCTTGGATAAACGTTCTCGGTGATGAGACGGCTAAAGATAAATGGCGACCGGCCATTTTCCCTAGACTGCATTACGTGTTCAGCCATTTGAAACACCAATATGATTAAAATTCAATAAAACGTAAGGAAATAAATAAAAATTTAATAAGTTAAAATTAATAACAAATAGTTAAAAACTGATTATTAGTCCTCAACATAAGTGGGGAATAAGAATTACAATTTAATTCAAAAACTGAGGAGCAGGGCTGAAACTAAATTTAAGCGTTGAGTACACAATATTATAATGTACCATTTCAAAGGATTGTAAAAATACAAATAGTTGTTTTTCCATTCCACCAATGAAAGAGATAAAAGTAAGTAAAGCATCACTAAGCAGTTTAAGAATATGGAGAAATATTTTAACGGAGAAACGTAGTTACGAAAACAAAGACAGAACAGTCGAACTACACTTTCTGACATTTCCTTTCCGATGTAAACAAAAATCGAGGAAAACAGATTCAACTTCCAATGCAAACAGAACGTGTGACTGAGATAAAAAGTGGCCTCTGTAATGTCGCCCCTACTTCGCTACTGTACTTCTCTTTAACACGAAAATCATAGGTAAGGTACTTTTCTCTTCTTTCCGATTGCCTTCGTGGTGTAATAAGAAGCATACTCGACGCGTATTCGAGAGGTCCAGGGTTCGAGTCCCGGTGAGGGAACCGCACATTTTTCACGTCTCCTACTTCAAAATAACCTAATGACTCTACAAGTGGCGCCCAAATTAATAGGGCGGTGAAAGATAATTCGTCACCACCAGGATTTGGAGAATGGGTTCCCTAATCCGAAGTCTCCTTTTTAAAAGAGGGAGTACATAACATATTTTATTCCTTTTTTCAGCATGCCTTCGTGGTGTAATTGGGAGCATACTTGACGTGTATTCGAGAGGTCTAAGGTTCGAGTCCCGGCGAGGGCACTGCACATTTTTGACGCCTACTTCAAAATAACCTATATTATTACAAAGGAAGTTTTACTCTTCAATGACAACCTCCCCCCCCCCAAAAAAAAAAAACTTGAAAATTGACAATTTTTTTTTTGTTTGTTTGTTTGTTGTTGTTGTTGTTTTTGGTTTGTTTCGTTTTGATGAAAAATAACAACATTTTAATTATGCTACATAAGTAATGTGATTTTTTAAAAATTCTAAGTTCGTTACACTCCAAATATTTGGGCTGCAATTTAAAAGCAAAAATTAACGGTTTTTATAATTAACCATTTCATCCCTCCATTCTTGGTTACATCGTTCCGAAACGCCTGCAAGCGCTTTTTTCGTGGGAAGTGACTAACTAGTGTTAAATGTGTCTGAGCCGTTTATCTTAATACTTCCACTATGTTACGCCCACTTTCATTTTGAAGGCTCCCGTTCCTCTACCCGTTGTAATGCGCGGATAACTGACATCGTCCATACCAAGTCAAAGGATAACACGGCACGGCCAGGGTGATCTTTACTTATAGCCTTTTAAAACATGAACTTTAAAACTATTTCTCTTCGCCCCCCAAGCCATAACTCATAACCATGACAACGACTGCTGTAGGGGGGAAAGCCGAATGCTCTAATTTGCTAAAATCCTCTAATAATTTCTGTGCAGTGATGATGACATTCCGTTTAGGTATCTTGTAAATGTGGGAAAATATGAACCTGAAGCGCCTATTTTAAAAGTACTTTCGGGAACAAGAAATTTACCCATTTTCAACTAAGCTCTTGTAAATTTATTGCTTTTCCTGGAGGATTACATTTCGACATGTTGGTGGCGGCTTTCCTTGCCTTAGCAACTTAAAGTCTTAACAGCTATCCATGGATTTTGTTCTTCAGAGAAATAGACGCAGGCGACTAAAATGTCACGAGAAGTAAAGAATTTTCTGTTGAAATTATGGTTCTGTTTCCATAATGAGAAGTGCCAGAACTTATGTTACTTAAGTTTAGGTGCGGTCCAACCTGAATTACGATTTCTTTCGAAAATGGAGAAAGTACCGGAACAAACACCACTGGACAAAGGATATTCTTAAAAAAAATGTAAAATGACATGCAAAAAGAAATAATACTTAAAGTGAAAAGAAAACGGAAGCTCTTAAATTAACTAACCCTTTTAATGCAAGATTTATAAAATGACATGCAAAATAAATTTACGTTTTGCAATGAGTAATCTTCGTAAATCCTTCTTACATATTTTTAATTTTGCTGTTTTCGATTGATTGGACAATTGATATAATACTTTTAAAACATACGAGCTATTTGGGTTGCTTCGGCACGTGCTATAAATCTGCGATGCTCTATGATATCCTGTTAAGTTCTAGGAGACTTTGAAATATTTTAGAACAACACATGTATGAAACACCTGACAACTACCTAAAATTGTACATTGACACGAGACATCTTCCAGCTTATTTGACGAGCATAAATATATAGATAAAGTTTCAGATGATTAGTATTATGGTAGAATCTGTGACATTGTATAAGACTGAAGATTTTATTTGGAGATTAAAAAGATTGGATAAAAAATGCTTTTTATTTGGAGATTTAAAAAAAAAATATTGCACTGAAGTAAAAAAAATTCATTCACTGGAAGCAGAACCAGCATCAGATATGTGAGAACGAATTTATAGTATATGTGAGGCTCTTATACTTGTGACGATGCAATACCTGCTATGATTAATACTTCCATGGAAAGTAGATTATAAGTGATCCTAAGTGCATTTTATTCGTGTAAAAGGTCTGAAGTGGGAAAAAACTGTTGATGTAATGGAGGTTTTCTTGAGATGAAAAAATTCTTTATCAGTGACGTAAATCTGTGCCTACGTTTGTTACTGCATTCATTATTTTGATGATTTTTTATGTTCTTTACTTTTCATAAGGAAGGCTATAGATTTATTTGTGATGGCTGACGAATGTAGAAATCTTTTATTATCAAGCATTTGAATAGATAATTCGAAATAGCTCTAAATTCGCTGTATATGCATGTATCTGTTGATGAAATGAACCATGGCCTGATAGAATCCAGTTTATTTGTGGAATAGATGTAAGTTTATTGGTATCAAAATTTGGAAATATACTGAAAGCCGACCTTCTCTTTTGTATGATATACCATTACTGATATCATACTGTTACCACTATTTCTTATAGATTGGAAGTGAGATGACTTCTTGGCCAAGGTAAATATACGAGTATGTAAATATACGAGGACTACGTAGTATGTCACCGTTTAATGCTACTGTGTCTTGTGAAGCTTCTTTGGTAATGTGCTATTGTTTACATCTTCTTAATAATCGTTGAAGATTATTCATAAAAAATGGAATTCTGATGAGTTAGTCGTTGCAGCAGAAATATTTACTAATTTCGTATCTTTAAGCGCCTGTTTATTACCCACAAAATAAATAAATAAATAAATAAAAATAAATAAAAGAACATACTCAACCTTTAGAATCTGATATGGTACACTTTGCTCCTCAAAACTGTATTTATTTTTTCAGATAGTGGGCTTTATGTTTCCAATTAGCTCTGAAATCACTAACTCTTAGTAACAGGGTTCATGAATAGTGCAATTTATTGCAATATCGGACAGGATAACGGTAATTATGCCTGGTTCTGCAGGAATGCATAAATTGGAAGTCATATTTTAAAATATAGTTTTATGTCCACTATATTTTCCATATTGCTTTCAACAAGAATATCAAATTTATTGAATACCACAAAATTCTAATTGTTGAATGTCGGCTAATATGTGCTTCCGCAGTTTTATTTATTTGAGCTATTTTTTTTAAACAAGGAATTTTCACTGTCCCGTATTTCAATTGTGACAAAATTTGATTTTATGTTTATTAGTTAAAATTGTAACGCTTAACAATATAGTCACCCAGTTTTACTAATGCGGGATCATAAAATAAGACTTGCATCCTGTAAGTCTTTAATATGCATATGATCAATAATCGTCGACAAATACTCACTACAATAATAAAAGCACTATTAGTTTATAAGGTATTTCTCTACCCTTGTTAGCATGATTTGTGGTGTAATGGCCAGCACGCTCGACGCGTATTCGAGAGGTCCGTAGTTCGGAGTCCCGGCGAGGACATTGCTCATTTTTCATCTCTTTTGCTTCGAATTATTCTAATGTCTCTACAGTGGCTCCCAAACTGAAATAGGGGGTGGATGAGGATTCTCTACCAGCAGGATTTCACGATAGGGCCCCCTAATGGCCAGTCGCCATTTAAAAGGGGATATATAAGGCATTTCTCCCGCCTTTTTAGCATATCTTCGTGGTGTAGTGCTCAGCACACTCGACGCGCATTCGAGAGGTCCGTGGTTCGAGTCCCGAAGGGAGCATTACTCATTTTTCATCTCTCCTGCTTTCAAAAAATATATAATGTCTCTACAAAGTTCTTGAATAAGATATAACTCAAATATCTTAATACAATAATTGTATTAAAGCAGAAACTGCACGTACAGTATCACTTAATCGCAATATCTCATTAGCTACTGGTCACCGAAAAGTGATCCAAAAATAAAAATCAGAGTGACTCTCATTAGTTTGTTTATTCCCAGTTTATTCACAGAGGTAAGATCATTTCATTAGAAGAAGCTCAAAGAAGCCTTTTTTCCCCAAACCTTATTTTGTGCTTACGGATACTATTGTACAAAAGAGTAAAACACTACAGCCAGTACTCTGCTACTAAAAATTCTTTTTGGGCTATAAAATATATTAACTCTGAACTGGAAGCACAATCTCAAACTTCGAAACTAGAATGGGAAAATAGTCTCGGATCAGACCTGGAGAATATGATCTCCATATTTAAAATTTTGTTCTAATAACAAGTCGAAATTTCAGTTATTTGTGAATGTAGAAATTAGAAATGAAGAAATTTATTGGAAAATATAGTGAACTCTCTTGTGGCAACTATCTTCCTAGGATGACCACTTATGAAAATAACCAGTATTTCTGAAAGCACAAATAAACATCGACACTGAATATCACTTCTACAAGACATTAAAATCATCTGTGTGTGTGGTGGTCTTAAGAATGATTTACTGTACAATACATTTGGCTATGGAAGAGAGAATTCAGAAGTTCAGTTTCAAACTATCTGGATTGAAATAATATGTATAGATTTCTACTTGTACGTAAATTTTAACATTAATATTCACAATAAAGTTATATATGATAGTCTGAAGTGTAACAAACTTTCTCTAAAGATGACCACACACGGATCTAAATAATTTTGTTCTCTTGTGGAAATTGTCATCTCAGATAGGGCTTTGCCGATGCTTGTTGATGTTTTCAGAAATACTGCCACTTTCAGACGTGGTCGTCTTTATATATATATAAATATTTAAAATAAATAAATCTTCTCGTGGCCACAGCTTTACAAAATGAACAATAAATTTTTAAAATGTTGTAAGGATTATGTTAATTTTATTGACAGTTAAAGTTCCTTTCCTGTCAAATTCTTAACTTCAACTTACTACTTCCGGCCAAAACGTAGTTTTGGAATCTTTCTGAATGCTTAAAGAGGAGGAGCGGTATTTAAACCGCTAAAGTTACTTTCAGAGTGAGAGAGAATCTAAGTTTCTGATTTGCGCGCGTCTGCCTTTTGGCTACTCTCTCTCTCAAAGCTGTTATTACGCTCAGCCGCACTCAGGCCCTTGATAAGCTTCGTAGTCAGAGTTAAGGGGCCAACTCGATTAGAATCTTGGTAGCTTCGGCTATATTTCTTTAGTTAATCTTAGTTTTAGTTTAATTTTTAGTCTCTTAAGTTCAAACCCAAGTGTCGGCTTTGATTGTACACTCCAAGACGGAGTTTTGTTAAATCTTATTGCAATAATAAAGGGTTAGTTACCCTTCCAGCTTTTTGTTTTTTGTTACACGAACCTAAGCGATTATTCGCTAACTAGTTCTTAAGATTCGTCAGTTTCTACAGTAACTGAGAAATACACTAGTGAGAATCTTACAATGTAAAAAAAAAAAAATGTGTATTGAATATCTCCTCTCTATAGCAGCTATTCCTACAAAAGACAAACTCGTTTGTAACCATGAGTGGTCTTTCAGAGAAGATTCAATGTATATTAATATAGAATACTTTAGCTCCTTGAAAAAAAAATAGATGCCCGTTTCTATTTCCTATCAAAATTCAGAGTTTTTATAACACACAAATAAAACCAACATCAGTCCAAATTTTTACATAGTTTTAAAATATGAATATTTACTTTGAAAATAAAATAAAAAATAAATAAATAAAGACTTTAATTCCAAAACACACTTTCGCTGCTAAGGAGAATCTTGCTTCTCGTTTACGACTCAAAGTTAGCTGTTAATTAAATAACTTTAGTTCTCTTTTGTAATACAACTTAATTTTCAAATGACAGAACGGATCTTTATTTTTGGGCAATAGTTTGCAGAAACCAATTTGGTCTTAGTTTCATGTCTTTTTAACAGCTGTATCAAATAAAACATTTCAACGTTAACAAATGCATCATGGTCACACTCACTGCATTCAAAAAATTTCCAGCAACAAGGACCATGTACAGAATTTCATGGAGCTTTCTGCATTCTTCTAATTCTAAAATAAGAATTAAGTTTCAATTATAAATATACATAAAATTATACATATACATAAGTTTCAATTATACATATACATAAAGCAACATCACACAAATATAAATTGTAAAAAAAATTAGTAATAATCATTTTTTTAGTCTTTCTATATTTAATGGACATAATTTAAATAATTTAAAGACAACGCTGTTATAACAAGAACAAGAAATATACAGGTATTACTTATACAGAGATAAAATACGGATGTTTGAAAAAGAGGTGGCTGCGGCCTTTATTTTCTTAAATATTGGTTTCAGATTAATGTTTTCGATTACAATATTTCTTAAACACGTTCCAACTAAAATTCAAATTTTCATTTCTGTGATGTTCGATAATCAAATAAAATTATCTTTCTGACAAACATAATGTACTACTTATCAAATTTAGGGCGAGACATCCACAAATCATGCACATCAAATTTACAAAAACTGTGAAAATCCCAAAACGACTATTAATGGCAAATAGTTTCCCAATGGATGACAATTTTTACTGTTGCAAGCAATATATCATTTGATTGCTCGTTTGATGCTTACGGAAAAGTAGTTGAAGCATCTAAAGAGACCTTCCCAAATGTTCGTGAACCTAACAAGACAATGATTTCCCATTTGCTAACCTGATTTCGAGAAATTGGGTGCGTTCACCATAAGAAAAGAAATGGCCTCTTGTCTCTTCTGCATTCCGACAAAATGGACAAAACCAGGAATAAAATGTTACAATCAGTAGTGTGCCGTTTTTCGTAACAAAGAGGACTCAAAGAGGACTAGATATGAAAAATAGTTATAATTCTCTCTAAGATATTTTAGAAGAGTTCGCAAAATTTAATTCGTTTTAATTCAGTCCTACGAGCAATGCGCAAAGAAGAAGAAGAGGAAAAAAACGATTTTCATAGGTTTTTTTAATTTTATTTTATTTATTTATTTATTTATTTTATTTTATTTTCAAAGACTGCAAAGTGTCATTTACTATATATGCATTCCTTTTATGAAAATGAAATTATATAGGATTTCTTCTAAGCTCAACATAAATAAAAGCCAGTCTCTTTAAGATGTAAACTCTCCAGGAATATCTTCCGCAGAAGCTTCTTTTCATTAGCAAATTTATAGACAAAACAGGAAAATAAAAGTATTTGAATAACAAACTTTAGGACAACTTAGGAAGTAAGAAGGAAGGAACAAAATTTACGAAGTAACAAAACTTAATGAAACTGAAGATTTTAAAGTCATACCAATAAATCTAAACTTATCAGGAAGTCAAGAAATGATTCATTTCAGTAATATCGTACTTTATTTAACCATTCGTAAATAATTTATAAACGAATGAGTTATTTTTCTCACTTGCGAATTACTGTAGCAATCGTATTATAGTCTCTTGTTTTAGAATAGGGACTTTAAGACTATTTTCCTTCCAAACCATGACATATAACCACATGTCAACGATTGCTGCGGAAAAAAGGTCGAATCCTCTAATTTGCTAAAATCCCTTAATTCCCGCTATGTGCCGATGACAACACACGTTACGATCGTAAATGAGGGCATTTATGACCGCAACGACGTTTCAAATACCTATTTTAAAATAACATATTACAGCCATTGGAAGATTTCAATGGTGTAAATGCAATAGGAATTGAAAAATAATTACTTGCTTTTCTGCACCTAATTACGATGGTTTTGAAAATAATTTAGACATACATAATTATGTACTTATAAATACCTTGGACAGCGCATCGTATAGTTTCTATACTGTTCTCCAGAAATTCCTGATTGGCCATGAACTCTTCTTTCAGTAACATGCTCTCAATTCGAAGCTTGTAACTAAACATGAACGGTAGTATATAAATATGGGTGTACTATCAAGCCAGTTAATTTTTAAACAGAAAAATAAAAAGAAATTTTTAACACTTACTTTGGAACATCCAAAAGTTGTAAAAGGAACTTTTCGGCATTTCCCAACTTGCTCTTGTCACCATCAAAATTTCTCAACATCTCCGCCTGAAAAATAATTATTATGTAATGACAGTTAAGTGATAGTTATAAAAGTGAGGTTGCATCTACTTCCTAAGCTAAAGGAAATGTCATGCTTGGCATTTTTCCAGTCTATTCAAATGATTTTACCTAAAACCAAATATTTGATCGCAAAGCGTATAGATATAGTGTTTAAAAATAAATTTATACAGGAAAATTTTTTGATAGAGCAAAATGCATTCTATAATTTCTTGGAAAAACTTCAGGCTTAAAAATTTTAGACTTATTGCTATGCAAAATGTAGAAATATTAAAAAAAAATTATTTTTACAGCACTTGCAATATTTTAACAATAATTTCCTATCTTCGACTAAGTTTTTCAACGCTAACGTATATAAAAGTGACGGAAAAAATTATTTTATTATTTTCTGCAGTTTTACTTGGATAAAACACAGTTCTTAAATAGCAGATGCTGTAAAGTGTTTTTTTTTTTTTTTAAAGTTTAGGAATTTATTTTTATTTTGTTTAATCGTGCTTAGTTTAAGATTAAACATATTTAAATTTAATACTTCTGTAAATCTCTGGAGGTACTGAATTACTGCTAAATAAGTAATATATTTGTACGAGTACAGACAGAAGTGGCGGGACACCCAAATTTCACTATTGGTCGTAAAAGTACAGTCCCGCCCCACTAACTGTGCAGTTCCGTCCCAATTTTGATGGAGAACACTACCGGAGGGGCGTACCGATGGTCTGCCACTCCTCTTCCCTTATCAAAACCTCTCGAGAGGACTTCAGGCTCGTCTCATATTTGGAGTACCCCATGCCACACAGACATTATACACTTATAAACATTTATGCCTTCTCCGGGATTCGAACAAGGCCTTTCCGAACGGCAGTCAGCGTTACTAACTTCTATATTGTCTGGGCGGCTTGTTGGAGAGGATAAGATATAAAATGTAAATAATGTATTGAATAAAAAATACCCAAACAAAGGATCAATGTTTTTTTCATGGATACTATATAGATATATACATGATACATTTATATAGAGAAATACATGTTCCTTCTACCCATGAAGCAAACGAAAAACAACAATTTTCTCTAATCACTGTTCAAAAATGAAATGGGTCAAGGTTACCTGTAGCAGTGCGAAGTAGAAGGATTATATAAACTGCTGTTTAGTTAAGAGTTTTCGAAACGGTGCGAATAGTTTACAAAAGGGGTTCTCAACCGGTGGTACTCAAGAGAAAAATTGGTGGTGCTCAAAAGAAGCAAAGTATTTTTAGTCCAAAGGAGCTTTGTCCCTGAAGGACTATTGCTTTCGTTTTGCGATTCTGCGTGAATCACTATAAACGGCGTATCACTTTTCAAACTGTTGCCACCAAATGTTAGAGTCCTGTAATATATTTTAAGAAATTAAACTATGAAGAATCTGCATAAATGTATGTATGTTTCTCGCATTGTGATAAAACTACGGTATCTAGAGCCATCCAATTTTGAATGACGTAATCCTATTGCGAATATGGGTATCTGAAAGCCCAAATTTAAAATCTGGAATTCGTTTTATTATCAATTTCATATTTTGTAAAACTTTAACGAATTTTTTAATAACAGACTCAACGATTTAAAAGCGAGCAATGGAAACACTCTAAGGGGGAAAATTTTTTTTTTATCTCCAGGGCGCGGAACTGTGTATCGGAATTTCTAAAGATATGCTCATTTTAAAATTATTTTACGACATTGCTGTTGAACTGAATTTTATGGTTTACGTGCAAAGAACAAGATATTTAATAAATAAAGGCAACACAAAACGTTAAAAAACGTCCCTTTGAATGTAATTTTAAATCTGAAACCTTTTCAGATTTAAAAAAAAAAAAAAAAAAATTAACTATTAAATTCAAAAATTAAAACCCCAACATCCTGATTGAGGTTTTGATACTTTGATACAAAAGTAGTTATACAGGGGTTCTACTGCTTTTGCAGTATTGAGGTTTTTCTCTAACACTCGTAAATTTATGCGATCTGGGCTTTGTTGAAGAGTGGTGGTGGTAGCAGTACTTTGTAGTGGTGGTACTAAAGGTTTTCAATTTTTGCTTAGAAGGTAGGCGTTAGTCCAAAGGTTGAGAACCGCTGGTTTACAATATTAATTAAACGAATGTGATTAAATAAAATTTACTGTTATAATTAACAATAAATCTCGTTAAATGTACAGTGCATTAAGCGAGTCTCTTCAGATTTTCTTTCTTTTTTCTTTCCTCACATTTCTTCATATTATTTATTTATTTGTTTATGCATATTTTTTATACATCACGCTTCCTGTTAGTGAATATTTAAGCTTTTAATGCTAATCATTTTAAGTAAAATGTTATAAAATTCTGCAGAAAAATCTAAGAAATTGTAAAATTATCCTTTTAACTTTTCGCTTAAATTTACAACATTCATAAAATCTGACTCACATTCTACGGAAATATTGTAATGTATGTAAGAAATATAGCCTTAAAAGTACTAAATTACAATTAAATCTTTCAAGGCGACCAATCCTAAAAGTGACCAGCATATCTCAGAGTATAATTATGTAAAGGAATTGAACGGCACCAATAATAATACGTTAATAGAACAGAAGATTTCTACCGGTTGGTCTTCTTAGAGAGAGATTATATAAAATCTGAAAAAATTAATTATCATAAAAAGTACTGTAATGATAGGTCTTTCCAGTTTGACCTGCCAAAACGAACTGCCAGATTATAATCTTTATTTGAAGACGAACAATACTATCAAAATAACAGAAAAGGCCAAAAAAATTCGTAATAATTTATTTTTCGTGCCCTTATTATACGAAGATCTCCAGATCTAGGTCGTCATTGCCATCCCCGCGGAAATAGTATTATTAGAGGCTTTAATCTGTTGGGCGTAAAGCTTTTATTTTTACCTCGACGGAATCTTTGTTTTCAATTCATGTGTTTCATGGTCTGTCAAATTTAAAAGTATTGCTCCTTGTGGTGAAAATCTGTGCTAGTGCAAAGGTTTTGTGTCTTTTCATTACTAAATAAAAGAAAAAGTCTCTACCGTTATACGATGAAATAATATCGTAGCAATTCCCTCTCCCCTATTTTCTTCGCCATTTTGAACAGTTCATTTTGAATATAAGATTTTGATTTTACGTTTTCTAATCTTTAGCTTCTAAGAGACCAATCCTTAAGCCAATAGGTATATTGTTGTGTTATGCTTAACGTAAAAGTATGTAAGATATTAAAAAAATACATGCACATCAAAAATCAAACCCTATTTCTTTTTAAATCTCAACACATGATTTATATTTAAAAAATTTTCAAAACTTTCATCGTAAACTCTTCGCCACATTAGACCAATGATTCCCAATGGAGTTGGTACTGATCCACTAGGAGTCAATGAATTTTTAAAGGGATACACTGAGGGTCGATACGCGAATATGCCCTAGTGCAATAATCAAGATCTCATTGATTACAAAAAAAAATATTTATAAATAAAACTGATAATTAATGATTTATTGATATAAAGCTATATCATGTAATAAGAAGCCATATGACAGAAAAATAAGAGAAAATATGCATTAAAACTGCGATATATTTGACATTGATATTACGATGCAAGAAGAGTTGACAGCACTGTAGGAGGATGTTCAAGCAGTCTTATTCAAACCACAAGGGTTAGAAAAGTTTTAAAATTTAAAAATCATCCGACAAAAATATTTCAAAATCGAAGTTGTTGCTGAACCAACATGATTGGATTATTTATTGTGAAGAATTATATTATTGCGAAGAAACTAGGGAGCATTAAAAATGATTCGAAGCAGTTTGCTTTGGATATATACGGTATCAAGATTTGACGGCCACAGTTGTTTATACACAAATAACGGAACATTCACTATACGCACTTATCTTACTTTGAAAATTGTGCCAAATTCTCATATAGGCATTAGTAATGATTAGTAACCGACATTCGTTTAACCCGTTCAGGACCAGCGACCCGTATACGCGACGCAACGATTCCACTCCTACCAACCAAGCGTCGCGATTACTTGAAGATTTCCGATCGTTAGGCATAAGCGGATAGTTTCTCTTTTAACTAAAGATACAATTATGAGAACCCTCTCTACAGCATTACTAACTGGAATTATTAGATAATTAATCATTGGGGTTTATTAGATAAGAAAACAAAAATTTGGCTAAAATTACATTTTATGACTCATTTGCATAATTAAACTCGTGTGAAAAATTAAGAAAATTCGCAAATTATGTCTATTTTTGTCTATTTTTACGAAACGCATTGAACCAAAAGTACTAACTATGCCGCCGAAACATTATGCAAATATTCAGAGTCGAATACGTAAGAGCACACGTTTGTGTTTGCGTAGTTGGTGATTGTGGAGGAGATATACGCGCACGAGCGGTTTTAGGCGATTAGTGTTCTCGTACTTCTTCACGAATTCGCCGTCTTTCTCGCAACAGTTGGGTAAATTTTATAAGTTCTATGCTGCCACTAGGACCTGAATTTCACGATTTACAATTGCCCGAAGGCTTAATGAGATCGGGCTGTATGCCAGAAGATCTACTGCTTACGTCCCGCTCATTGCAGCACAAAAGACAGCGTATTTGCTTGCTACAGACGACACGCGTCTTTTAATTAACTTCAATGGAGCACTGCGCTTTTTACAGATGAGTCGCGATTTAGCCTGGACACTGATTCTCGGCGTACATGTATCTTTAGACAGCCTGGGACACGATATCATCCCTAGAAAAGGATCATTAAAGCAGTGGAGGTGTAATAGTTTGAGCAGGCATTATGCCGCACAACCCTGCATGTGCTTGATAAAGGCTCCTTGATTGCTATGAGATATGGAAACGAGATCTTAGGGCCCTATGTTCGACTTTTCAAGGGCACATTTGTGTCCTGGGTTCCTGTTAATTGACAACAATGTTCGTCCACAAGGGCAATTTCATCTCACTTTCCCTCTCCGAGAAACATCCCGGAGTTGAAAACTGCCTT